GGGACATTCCCTCACTGGCCATGGCTCCTCGCGCCGGCAGCATGGCAGCACCAGGCCAGCTCGGCCGCAGCTTATAACCACAGGGCAGAGCGCGGCGCATGCGCAATCGAGGAGCCCGCCCATGGGGCTGCTGGGAGATGTAGTTCTGTTGAGCCAAGGGGCGCTCTGGAGCGGCCAGTGGTTGCTGGCGAAGAAGAGGGGAGTGAAGTTGCTATATTCTGCGCGCATTATTCTGTTGGGGAATTAGTGTAGGGCAGGGCGCTTCTGAGTGCAGCCATATCCCTCCCTCAGGGCAAGGACAGCAGCAATATGCTCTCCCGCCCTCCCCCCGACCTCCTGGAGGTTTCACATCCCTAGCCTACAGTCTGCCCAGTCTCAACTTGAAATATGAAACAGACCACATGGGAACTAGCCGTAGAAGTGGCACAGTGGAGTAACAAACAAATTAAAACTTCTCAGCTAGATCGTAAAGAGCCATCCCAGCCCTTACAGGGGAAGGGGAATTAGTGGGACTTTAAGGCAGAGAGAGAAAGAGAGATTAAGTGGTTAGCTCAAAACCTTATGCCAATGCAGCATGAAGAGCCACAGATGGGAAAACTAAAACCAAAAAAAGGGCCTAGGCCACCCTAGGGGAGTCCACATGATGACCTCTTTGATATTTAAAACAGCATTTTAAAGTGTGCATTACATTCTTCTATAATATATATTTATTTTATGATTAAAACAAGAATGCACCCAAACTACTAATCATCATTTTCTTGTCCTTCATCTTTAAAATAGACCAATGTGGCAGATGAGGAGCTGAGAAAATAGCTCATAGGCCAAAGTCACCTCACACATTCTAGCCGTGTATTTTGGCCTCTGAGATCTCTGATATGATAGTGTACTGCAAAGTTAGGTTTGTACCAGCTGTGCACCAACAGCACTAGCATGCTTAAAGCCTATTCAGTAGAGATTATATATAACCAACTTCTGGTGAACAGGTTATCATAAACATCAACCTAATCCCATTCATCCTTTACAAAGGAGGCCTTCCTCTACACAGTTTTTTTTTTAAAAGAACTAGTCCTACAGGCTGCCAACAGGACTACTTTTGGTAGTCCTTAAGACCCAGAATTCTATCTTGCATGACTCATGCTCCTGTACCCTCATTTCCTTATTTTCCATTCTTAAGTATTTTTTCCCCATTTGGCTGCCAAGGTTCCAATTATAGCAAACAATTCAAAGGGTGGTGTCTATTACCTAACATTTCTCTAATGAACAAACTATTAGTGTGAAACAGAGGAATATACAGAGGACTGCCATATTTGTAAGCTTGACCTACCCGGTTGAAGAAGTGTTCAACACCCTTATTCTAGGTATTTAGACACACACGAGTTAGTTTGCATGAATAATATTTCATGTAAAATAACTCCCATGATTATCACGTTCTATAAAAACTACAAGCCTACTAAAAATGCATTTGAAGAGGGGCATATGCATCATGCAGTATGTTAAAGTACAAAATGCCTTAAATTTGTTAACTTACAGATGGTGTAAATGGAAGAGATGTTTGATTCTCATCCTAGTGACATTTATTCAGCCCACAAAAGCATCCCATAATTTAGCACAGTTGGCAATCCAGTGTGAAAAAGAGATGGTGCCATAGCTCAGACTTAAATATTGGGAAAGACAGCCTCAGTAGAGAGAAGTGGGAGGCTTGGAGGCATGAGAAACCAGCTCATTAGGAAAACTCCTAAAAAAACCACTAAAATAATCAAATAGACAGAAGTTAAAATTTTGTAATATTGCAATGACTGAAAAAACCTGAAAACAATCTTTTAAAAGTTGAACTCACAAGGTCTGAAGACTTGTGGGGGGGAGAAAGGAGGAAGGGAGGGGAGAGGGTACTGTTTTACCCAACCGCACAAATTAGTACACAGCAGGTATCTTTCAAAGGGCAAATTCTCTATGAAACTGAATAGAATCTCTATACTAAAGAGGGAAGTTAATGTGTGTCTCAGTACTTGAAAAATAAATTTTAAACCATAATCGGTAAGTATCAATGCTATTTAGAAGCAGGTTACAGTCTAGAATGGTGTATGCTCATATCAAACTAAACTGAAAAAGCAGCAAACTTATTAAATCTAAAGAGGACAATGCAATTATGAAGGTATTATGTCCCTAGATATAGGACCAGAAATAATAAAAGAATTAACAATAAAGTCCCAAAATACTGCAAATATTTATGCACTTGCTTCTCTTTCTGCACATAATTAGTCCAACTGGTTTATTAATTCATAAATAGTAAGTATGGTGAGCATGTGCTTATAATTCTACACTAAAACTAAAATCCTGCAGCTGGCCGTCTCCTCCTCCAATTCTGGGTAAATTTCATTGTGACATACAAAAAATATTGCAAATATTTTTCAGATTGCCTAACAATTATAGGCATGCAAACAACCTGTGAATTCTCAGAAATTATTAGTTTTTTATCACCCTTTTTGGTTATATAAATTAGGAATTCCATAACATATATGATGTTTAACCTACAGAGATAAGAGTAAGTTTAATGCAGTTATTTATATTATCTTCTTCCTATGTTTGAGATAAGCATGCCTAATTGTTTTAAATAGAACGTGATTTTCACTGTAGGTAACTGGATTCTTCAAGATAGTAGAAATACTTCAGCTACTTGTTAAACTTTTTTTTCCTGTTTCTCTTATGTTGTGAGTTTCTTGAAATATAGTTGTACAGGCAGTCCCCGGGTTACGTACAAGATAGGGACTTGTAGGTTTGTTCTTAAGTTGAATTTGTCTGTAAGTCGGAACTGGTACATATTGTAGGGGAAACTCTAGCCAAACATTTCTCCAGAGCTCAGTTTTATTCTCCCACACCTCACTTCCCTCAGTCCTTTATTCTCAAGCTCAGGTGTCTGCTGAGAAAAGCCGCTACGCGTCTCCCTGGTCTGCTCGGGGGGGGGACGGGCGCTAGCTTCGCGTCGCCCTGGTCAGGTGGGGTGAAGCAGCTAGTGCGGGGTTGCCTCACCCCGTTTGTAAGTAGGGATCCGATGTAAGTCGGATCCATGTAACCCGGGGACTGCCTGTAGTAATAAAAAATTGTTATATATTAATATGCTGTCAATATTTTGTATAACAGCAAACTATGAAACAGAATTAGGAATGCTTTGTAATCAGCTTCTGAATTATTCTACCATTTGTTCACTTACAAACAGCAATGTTTAAAACTTAAGCTTGGATTCCTGCAATGCTGACCATGATCAGCCAATATAATTAACAGAATGAATTTTAATGATAAGCAAACCATATACTTACAATTATATTACAGACATAAGAGAACTTTGTAGATTTTCTACTATTATATTTCCTTTGACATATGAAGGTATTTGAAAATAAAAATATAAAACACACCAGCAGCCTGTGAACTGTAGTCTGAAACTACTTTTTTCACTTCAAGTATGTAATTCCTCTCCTCCCCGCATTTAAAAAGTTATTTAGAAACATGAGTTAGACCAACAGACATCAAACCATACAAAATTAAACACCTTCTGTCAGAACAAGTTATGTTCAAATTGTACTTGGTTTATTTACAATTGTAGTTATAAACAGTAACACAAACATCTTTACATTAACATTATGAAAAAAATCTCATTGCTGAAATAGGCACAGAGTCCAGAGGTCCTCCGAGGACAGGAAGAGGGGAATGTAATACAACAGCCGCAAGGCAGAACTATAAATACAGGAGCATTGGGCCAGGTGCAATTTCATGCAAATACCTTCAATAGTTCAAGTTCTATTGGTGTTTATTCAGATTTTTTTTAAAAGGGAAATTTGTTCCAGAATTAAGGTGCCTTAGCTTGATTTCTACTAAAATAACTTAAAATGGCTGATTTTTATAAAGGTCAGTTTATTTTCTTAAGATACATCAATTTTACATTTTATTAACTGTAAATACTAAGTGGTTTCCACACAGTACAGCTGATTCCCATAATCATCATTCCACAGTTTTTGCTAATTTCAGCACTAGCATGCACAGAAACTCTTCCATGGCCATAAGGGCATTCCAGGATTAGACTTGCTAATGTGTGATCCAAATGTAGATCAAATCTGAAAGCTGCTAGAATAGTTGTCAGTTATTTGGCATTAAGGAATTTAAAATGTTATTCAAAGGAAAAAAATCCATATGGCTTTGCAGGTAACAACAAATGCTTATCATAGATATTCAGTGTTTTGACCACGTTCATAGAATCACAGAATCATAAGTTTGTTTTATTTGTATGCATTAGTCTTGTTGCAGAACACACCTTCACGTTAGTACAAATCCACCTGTGCTGAACTGAAAGATTTTGAAATGACAACCAAAAGAATATATTTTATTAGATATTTCACTTTTGAGGGAGGCAGACTTTCACCTCATAATTTGTGGTATGAAGCACGAATTTCAATTTCACTCAAAATCATTCATGCACTTGTACTACAATAGTAATACTGCCCCAACCTAGGAAACATTTATTTTGCATAATTACAAAATTACAATCCTCTGGTAAGTTATTTCTTATTGTATACAGATCAGTCTTGTATTTAAAAACAGTCATTTAACCATTCAAATTATTTACCTGATCGTGCATAGTAGGTTTAAAACTTTTTCCCCCTCCATGGTATGGTTTACATTTTTCAATCATCTAGGGTTGAAGATCCACTGAATTGGGTTCCAATCATTTTGAGAGGAGTACATAGCATTAGTGAGCTTTTGTCTCTTCTGTTTACAAATTTAAGGACCGATAACACTTGATACTACCAGGAGTCAAAATCAAATTTACAGGCTTTAGGTTTTTTTGACTTCTAATTCTCAAGGTTAAGACACTTCAACTATTTTTCTACACCTGAAAGAGCTGCATTCCCTTTATAGTTCTACACAACTGAACTGCTACATTAAAGCTGCTTTTAAAAATCCTGACCTTTATAATAAACAACCTTTGCAATGAACAAAATTATTAAACAGAAAAAGAATTGAAATCCTGCTGAGAAATTAATAATTTACCCTATATTAAGCCTGCTACTCAGGTATTCCATCAGTAGAGATGTTCTCTAAGCTTA